GTGTGTGTGTGTGTGTTTCCACCACACCCACGTGGTGTTACTGAGAAGTAATGCTAACAACTGAATATTTTTTTAAAATCCTGTTAGTATACTTACCTTTAGGTAAAACCATATCCTTGTAGGCAATGGTAAATCTTTCAATTGGGTCCCTAATATGTGGCACATAAAAGTGAACTACCATAGTCCTCAAAACAGGTATTACTACATATGAGGAAACCTTCTGAATAAGAGGCAGGCACTCACATCATAACTGGACACCCGGAGCTACCATGGTACTCTCAGGGTCTATTCTCAGACATTAGAATGCAAAAACCTGCCTCCTCAAAAACCTGTGCGTGGCTGACTTTGTACACTTCCAAGATGACCATAGGGGAGATGTAATCCCAACATCCACAGAGTGTAAGCTTGAACAAAAGCTGATATGCATTATTTATCTGTTCCTTATCATGTCTTCTGAAAGCAAGAAAAAAAAACACCAAACAAATCCTATGTTCCAAGAGAGTGGAATTCTAGTTGGCCTCACAGCTGCATCCTCATCACTTAGGACACAGCATAGCATAGATGCTCAGTAAACATTGAGGAGGAAATAAAATCCATGTGGGAAAATGGGCCAGCCACAGCTAAGGATGAAGATGTACCATTTTATTTTTGTTTTTCCAGAAGGGTTTCAACTCTGACTCATGGGAAATTTGAATCCAGGGCCGGGGATTTAGCTTAGCAGTTCCGCTGCCTGCCTCGAATGTGCAAGGACCAGGATTCGATCCCCAGTAACACACACACACACACACACAAGAAAGTTGAATCCAAAGATGTGAAATTTAAACTGGGATCTTTTGGGTGGGCCTTGATCAGGATGGTTTGCTGAGGAGGATGAAATGGAAGGGTCAACCAAGGGAGAACAGGATTACCAGTGTTGAACTTGTAAGTGTTGAGTCCCCGAAATGTGTTTGTGCACTTAAATCATGTGACCTGCCCTTCCTCACATCTTTACTAAAACAATATTGTGCTGTTACTTAACACAACTCCTATAAGCATAAGTGGGACAGGAGTCATTACTTCAGACTGCTGGGAAAACGTGAGGGATTCTTTTTTAAAAATGTATTTGTTGGATAAAAGTAGCCCCTAAAAGCAAGTGTTTTGTTATAAAGCAAAGTCAAGCCAAATCCCTATAATATGATGGCGACAAGACCATTATTACGCTAAAATTTGAGAAAACCATTTTAAAACTCTCAAGCATATGTAACTCATGACTAAAGAATCCACTGTCAGGATATTTCCACCCTAATGATTCATGCTTCTGTGTTACATAAATTACCGCACGTTTCCTTCATTTTAAGAAAATATGAACATATGTGTGCTAGATGGAGATATCTGATACGGACATGAAAACACAATAGCTTTTAGGCTAAGAATCTCTTAATTACGGTCATCGAGGCCACCCTTCAGGGACAGTTATCCCACTCCACCTTTGGAAAGATATGGCCAGAAACCCAACTTCCTGCCCCAAACAAGTTCGGCCCCAAGGTTCTCTTTCTAGAACTTTGTTTGTCCCGACCGCCCACAAACGGGACAGGAGAGCAGAGGCCCTGAAAAGTTTAGTAAAAGTTAAGTCCAGAGTAGGCCGCGCCTCACCGCATGTACCCAGCCTCTCCGAAGCCCAGCCCTGCCCATCTCCAGGCCACCGGAACCCTCCGGGTGTCCCGCATGTACCCCTAACGGCTCAAGGCGGACCTGCGTGAGGATCAAATCAACGCAGAGCGGCGCGGCTGGCCGACAGCTCCGGCTCCGGCTCCGGCTCCGGCTCCAGAGGTTTCCGTCCCGTCCCCGTCCCCGTCCCCGTCCCCGTGCCCGACCCCGACCCCGCTCATCCGGTAGGTCCCGCCACCACACGGCTCTCTCAACTACAGCATTTTCACCGACTTTATTGGCTCCGGACTCCGCGGGCTCCCCGCTGGCTCGCAGGGCCGCCCTGGCACCCGGCGCGGGGCAGCAGCTGGAAGGGCCGGCTCCCCGGGGTCGGCGACGGCTCACTTGCTCTTCACCTTCTGGCTCTCCGTCTTCTTGGGCAGCAGCACGGCCTGGATGTTGGGCAGCACGCCGCCCTGCGCGATGGTGACTTTGCCCAGCAGCTTGTTCAGCTCCTCGTCGTTGCGGATGGCCAGCTGCAGGTGGCGCGGGATGATGCGCGTCTTCTTGTTGTCGCGCGCCGCGTTGCCCGCCAGCTCCAGGATCTCGGCCGTCAGGTACTCGAGCACGGCCGCCAGGTACACCGGGGCGCCTGCGCCCACACGCTCCGCGTAGTTGCCCTTGCGCAGCAGCCGGTGCACGCGCCCCACCGGGAACTGCAGGCCCGCGCGGGAGGAGCGGGACTTAGCCTTTGCCCGCACTTTGCCCCCCTGCTTTCCACGACCGGACATGTTTACTCCTCGCCTAAAACTCCAGCAAGATGAAACAGCAGCGAGCCCCGCAGTACGGGAAAGCGGCGGACCACACCGGAACTGCTCCTTCAAACTCTTCTGCGGCCGCTAGGCAGCGCCGTCCAGTTGGGCGCAGCAACATCCTTGGAAATGACAGGCAGGTGCACCTCCCAATGAGAGGGCTAACAGAGCACCCGCCTCCTCCATTCTGCCCAATCAAGGGCGCAGATTTCTAGCCCTTATTTACATAGCCGCCCAAATGAATTACAGTACCCAGGGCCGGAATGAATTTAATGGAAACTGAGGTTACAACGTTGGAACTAGCTCCTTGGAAAAGAAACAAGATTTAAGGAAATTCTCTTCTAAGGCTGGGTAACGAATGATAGACCCGACAGGAATACTTTCTGTACTAATGGAGGCACAAGCTCGCTTAGCCGAAATGTACCATTTCTTGTCTGAGGTTATGGGTTGGAAAAGAGCTGCTGGATTCCTTGAGAGAGGCCGCAGGCACGCTGAGTCGCTGAAGCTGGAAGTCTTGGCCTTGGCTTGTTCCCTGGACATCACAGCCCCACGGCTCACGTTTCTAGCAAGGCCATTGAAGACCCTGAGTATCACCTTGTACGTGAGCCCAGAGGCAGCATGGCAGCAACTTATCTTAGCATCTGAAACAAAATAAAATGTGTTTTAATTAGATATTACTTTCTACTAATTCATTGAGGTACTTTCATTTCCCTAACATTTTCCCTTATTACAGCTACACTGCTGTGCCAGTAATATTAAACTTTCCCATTTAACGATGTTTTGTGTGGTTTTAGTATCAATTTAAAAGTGAAACAAATTTCACCTCTCGTCTTAATAAAAATTTGGTATCATCAGTTGCATGTATTTATGTGTGTGTCCTTACTGCCCACCACAGTGATTAACCTACTGTAGGGTCAATGTCTTTGGAAATGAGAAACAGTATATTGTCATGGTTGAAATAGTCACCCTGGAGGCAGACTACTGTATCGCTTCCAAATCCTGGCTTTACTACGAATCAGCTGACCTTCAGTAAACTGTTTAACTTCTATACCTATCTCAGTGTTTTGAAGCTTGAGCATGTTAGTAAGCATCTAATAGCTCTTAGATATACTGAATAAATGGGCATACAAACCTGATGCAAATTTTAACAAAATGTTCCTGGAATAAGTTCTGCAAAAAAGCTTAAATTTTTGCCTGTATCACAAGAATTTCTTAGAAGAGTTTAAAAAACTATGATGTTGGACTTTTTTCTTTTTCTTTTTTTGGTACCAGGCACTGAACTCGGGTTCTTGTGTTTGCAAGGTAGGCAGTAGAGCCATTGAGCTAAATCCCTGGCCCACGTTGGACATTTTCTGTTTGCTTCATTCTTGTAAGTAAGGGGATTCTAACTTAGTCAAGGATTTTCAAACACGTAGTAAAATTTGATTTAGGATTTTCTCCTAACCAGTGTTCTTAGGAGTCTTAATAAAAGAAAAGAAGAAGGGAGGGAGAGAGGGAGGGGGCAGGCTTTTTGAGTTATAGAGATGAGCAAGAATTGAAACAAATATAAATTACAAGCATTTAGAAATATAATAAAATTTTACCATAAAGCTTTTCTGCTAGATAGGCTTATATTCAAGACTAGGAGGAAAGGCTCAATTTACTAAAATATTCATTTTTCAAAATACTAATTAAGTACCTGAGAAAGTACTTAATTAATGAATTATCTCCTATATACTGTTTCCTTTTAAGGCAATAAAACCTCACCCGGAGATGGAGATTCCTGTCTACAAGCACTGTGACAGCTCATTAAAACTTTCGTTTTCTTTGAAGGAACCATTTAAGAGAAAGGAATTGAAGGTTTGCAGTATAATCTGTATTTAAAGCCACGATTCTAGCATCTATTGTTTTACAAGAACTTTGAATGTTTAAGTGAAAGACATAAGACTCTCAGATTTGAGCAACGTAAGAAATTTACACTAATTCAACTCCGTAAGTATAGAAACAGTTACAGGGTTGAAAAGCAAATGCAGAATGAAATTCTAGGACTGGAGGCAGAGGAGGCAGGAAATTCTGCAAATTTCACAGAAGCAGCTGAAAGGGAAAAAGAGGGGTGAAGTGGGGAGAGGGAAGACGAAAGTTTTTGAAAGAATTTTCAGTAAGGGCCACAAAAACGGGAAAAATATTAAAATATTTCCTCTCTACCCAACAATTATTTTAAAAGATCCACACGTGAGAATCTGTAGGGTAATTACTTTGACCTAAGACCTAATGAGCTATAAAATGTTTTTACTGATTTTCAGTTATTTCACACATGCTATGATAGGAGTACGTGTTCCATTTGTGGGAAAACAAAACCATAATTAGTCTGCGCTGAGAGGCAAAGAGTCACAGAAAGGGTGAGAATGACAGCACAGTACTTTCTACTTCAGAGGTGAGAAAGGGCCATATAAATTCTATCATCTCATATTGTTTAAACTTTCAAATATACTACTGTAAGTCCCTCTTCAAATTTACGGTAAAAAATTTTTTTTGTAACTTTTTTCAAAAGAAGCACAAAACAAAAACCGGCCTTCTTTTGCGTAGTACTAGGCAACGCGAGGAAAGTCTCCAGAGGTGGAGCCTAGAGCTCCGCCCACTTTCTTCTGGTTTTCAAACAGGTCCGCAACAAGAGTATATAGGTTCTGGTCCGCTGTTCCTCGCCCCACTCGTTTTCTTTCTAGTTTTTGTTCGAGTGGAAGAGAGAGAATGTCTGGACGCGGTAAAGGAGGGAAGGGGCTTGGCAAAGGAGGCGCCAAGCGCCACCGGAAGGTCTTGCGGGACAATATCCAGGGCATTACGAAGCCCGCGATTCGGCGTCTCGCCCGCCGCGGGGGCGTCAAGCGCATTTCTGGGCTCATTTACGAGGAGACCCGGGGAGTGCTCAAAGTGTTCCTGGAGAACGTGATCCGTGACGCAGTGACCTACACCGAGCACGCCAAGCGCAAGACCGTCACTGCCATGGACGTGGTGTATGCGCTGAAGCGCCAGGGCCGCACCCTCTACGGCTTCGGCGGCTGAGCCGGCGCCCAGCATCCCCCACACTCCACTCCCAAAGGCCCTTTTCAGGGCCCCCAATGAGTTCAGGAAGAGCTGTAAACACAATTCCAGGTGTAGGCTTGCTGCTGTAGTGCTTTCGGTACTGTGTTCTGACACCGGGGAGTGGAGAGCTTTGCGGCGGAGCAACTGCTCCGAGTTAGGCGATTATAGAAAATGGGGCAAGGAAAGCGTTAGGCCTCCGCGAGGACACCCCAGAGCCGAGAGTTTGGTTTAGGAAGTGCACAGAGTATTTCTATGTGTATGCAGACAACGGGCACCAGGCTTCCTGCAGCCTACTCAGGAAGAGCCATCCTTCCACAAACGTCTGCAGCTGCTTCTAAGGAGCAGAGCCTGCCGCTTCTGTTTATATTAATTCATACGCAAATTAGGTGAGCCCACTTACGGCTTCCCATTGGGTCAAGGCGTCCTGCGTTAGATAGGCGGTCCTTCGTGGCCGGGGTCGCCTGATAGGCGCAGGGGCGGGCAAGGTATCCAATAGGACACCGGCGCCAGTGCAACCTCTGTGTATCTTGCTGAAGGCTTTCAGCGGGTTTTCTCTGCTAAAGCTGGATAGAGCGCTGGTGCTGAGCCGAAAGCTGCGGCCCATACAGTTCCAGTGCACCAGCTGCAGAAGTTGGCCCTCGGCAGCGGTGATCGAATGTGCGACCGCAGCGGCCCTCAAGTTCCTTAGCTGCAGGAGTGTGCAGCACTGTGGCCCCTGGCCCTCGTCCCGCCGAACAGGCCCTTTAGGGAGGTAGCGAACCCATTGCAGGAGGAAAACGACCCCGCCTCCGAATGTAAGCCCTGCTGAGCGCCTCCCGCGGGCCCTGGAGGGGAGCGGGTGACCGGTTGGTTCTGAGAGTCAGTGAAGACGTTGCCGGGAAGTCTGTGAAGTGGCGTGATCCTACCCGGGATCCCCGACAGACCTCGAGCACAGCGGGGCAAGGAAGGGGCTGGAGAGGGACCCAGCACGGAGCGAGGCGGGAACCGGGCTGTCTGCGAAAAGACTGGGGGAGGCGGGAAACCAGGGACTAGTGACCAGCATTTTAAAATATCCCTTGGACTTTGAAAAGAGAAGTACAGAAACCTTAAACATATTACATCAATTTATAGCTATATTGAGTATTGTTAATTGTATTTTTAAAATGAAAACCATATCGGTTTTTTTTCCACTCACTGTATGTTGCATCTTACAGTATATCGTTGTCTCCCACTATTTTTATTTCTGTCTATTTATCCTCATATTTTATATAATTTGTTTGCATGTTAGTATCTAAACTTCAGGATTGCAGTACCTTCTTTATAGGCTGTCCCGTTTATCAATGTGAATAACTCTTATTAACTCAATTTTTTTTTGTCCCTCAGATATCAGTTAACTTCAATTCCTTAGGGCCCCCCCCCTTAAAATTATCAGATCTTTTTTTTTTCTTTTAAATTCTTTTATTGGTACATTTTAGGCATACAATACGTTTACATTTATCATTGGGTGGTTGTACCTGTACATGATGCATCTTGGTTCTTATTTTTTCCCCATTACCTGTGTGCCCTTCACCCCTCTACCCTTCCCTCTTTCACAAATTTTGGGACCTCCTGAGAAATTCATCCTTTCTTGGTTTTCATTATTGCTTTTCTATTTTTCCTCTTAGGCTGTTCTGATTCAGTCCCTCCAGCTTTCTCTTTCTCCTTTTAGGTGTTAGTATACCCAGATTTCCTTCCTCAACTAGCTGTCTTTGGGAGTTTGTGTTGATTTGTTTTTGAGACGGTGTCTCCCTGCATAGACCAGGCTGGCCTCAAATTCATGATCCTCCTGCCTCAGCCTCTGTCTCAGTTACTTTCTCATTACTGCGACAAAATACCTAACACCCACAAGTTAAAGTAAGAAAGGTTTATTTTAGCTCACAGTTTGTAAAGATTTCAGTCCCTGGTTGGCTGGCTCCAAGGAAGTGTGGCATGATAGATGGGCATAGCAGAGGAGAAACAGTCCATGGCATGGTAGGCAGGAATCAGGAAGCCTTCTTCCTTTTCCTTTTTATTCCCTCCAGGCTATGAGCCTGTTGGTTGATGTCACCCACACCCAGGGTGAGTCTTCCCTCTTCAGTAAGTCCACCATCCATACCTAGAACTATGCTAAATCAATCAGTGGACTAATCCAATATAACCCATGATCCAGGCCCCTCCCAAAAGCCCTATTTACATATGCATAGGGTTTAGTGGTGGCATACAGATATAAATCATAACATCCAGTGCTGGGATTACCGGAGTGTACCACTACACCTGGTTTAGCTGCCTTATATTTACTCTGAATTTCTTTCACACCTCATAATAGTTCTATTTCCCCTCTCTTACCTGCCAATTCTAATTCTGTGTTGACAGTTCAGCCTGATGGTCTTAGCTCCAAACCTGGATTTTCCTCCTGATATCTTCTCTTAAATGTCTAGTCACCTAATGTTTGACACTCTCAAAATTGAATTCATAATTTTCCCCATAGATTTAATCTTCCACCTTCATTCCCTGAAAGGTAGAAACTTGAGAATTACTCTATCTTTATTTCTTCTTCTGTCATACTATTACATTTAATCTCCATTTTAAATGTGCTTACAATACAGTGCCTCCTCTTTCTTCTTTTTTTTTTTTTGGTACCAGGGCTCAAACTCAGGACCTTGAGCTTGCCAGGCAGGTGCTGTGCCGCTGAGCTAAATCTTCAGCCTGCCTCCTCTTTATTCTTTTGATCACTTCTTAGTTTGGCTTCTCATGTACTTATAATTGTAATCATTAACCACAACTTTAGGGATAACTATGTGCTTAGCACTATGCTAAGTATATTACCTGCTTTACTATGTTTGGTCCCTATAAGAATTCTACAAATAAACTTATTTTCCCCTTTTATCCTGAAGATGTTAATAAAATTGGCAAAGGATATAAAGCTAGTAAACGGAAGAGCCGTTGTTGAAACTTGTTAGCTTTATTTCTTAATTAGTTCCTCTTTGTAAAAGAAGAAAGTGGTATTTTCAAAGTAACCAATTGTTAAATCAGATTAATCAAATATCTTTTATAATACTTAATGTTTCACATGGAGCCAGCCATAAACTAATGTAGAACAGAATTTCTCAATAGAAATAAAATGCTATTAGGTGTACAACACATGTAATTTAAAACTTTCTAGAAACTGTTAAAAAGAAATAGGTGAAATTAATTTTAATAATATGTTTTATCTAACCTAGTATGTCTAAAATATTACATTTCAACACCTAAACAACAGAACAGTTATTGTGGTACTTGTATTATACATTTGTTTTCTGCACTGTTTTTCAAATCAGGTGTGTATTTTACAATTACAACACATCTCAATTAAGGCTAATTTCATTAGTATTTTTATTTTGAGACAAAGCCTTTCATTCTATTTGATCTACTTAGATTTCATAAAATCTGCAATTCAAAAATAGTTTTATATATCTAAATTGTTCCAAACATACTTAAATCAAGTACCAAAAAAAATCTTTTGACTATATGCATCTATATTGAAAAAACTTGTTCTTTATTTTTTTTTAAGAATTAATTTAGGGCCAGGGATTTAGCTCAGTGGTTCTGTCACCTGCCTCACAAGTGCAAGGTCCCGAGTTCGATCCTCAGTATGAAAAAAAAAAAAATTAATTTGGCAGGTGTGGTGGCATATGCCTATAATTCCAGCTACTCAGGAGGCTGAAGCAGATGGATCTCAAGTTTAAGAGCAGTCTGGAAAACTTAGTAAGGCTTTTGTCTCAAAATAAAAATACTAAAAGGGCTTGGAAAGTGGCTCACATGGGTTCAATCCTCTCTAATGCAGAAATAATAATAGTAATTGATTTAACTTGAAGGAAATGCAAATCAGATTCAAAGTCACTGTTTTGTTAACTCAGTATTACCAACACTGAATTCAAGAGTTTTGTGTCAGTGGAAAATCAACTCTTAATTTTACCAATATGAACAAAGCACTCTTCAGATTTTTCTTGTAGTTTCTATAACCAATTTAAATAATGTTGCAAATCACAATTAATAGCTTCATTATATTGGCTCATGCTAAATAATATGTATAATTATTATAATTGATTTTTTTATCATCCAAAGTTTTAATTTTGAACTGGAGTTAATAGTAAAATAAATCTTTTTGCAACTCTTCCTCAACTCACCCAGCATTGGCAAAGACGCACAATTATTGAATTCACCATCTTCTAATTCTTTCAGCAGTTTCAAAACTATTTCCATGATTCATACTGTCTGCACTGAAGGATTTTCACTGCTTTTATGACAATTTTCATAGTTTGCTCAGAAAACTGGACATAGATAATTTCAGTCATGTCATAGATAAAAAAGCAGAAAGAGAATCATGTTTCTTGTTTTAAAATTCCAGTTAAACTGGACTTTTGATTAACATAGCTAGAACACTCTCTAGTGTGAGAGAAATAAAATCTTTAGACCTAAAATTTTAAAAATATCTATGCCACAAGTTCCATTTTTTCAGCAATGTATTGACTAAATTTCTTGTTGAATTTGGATGTCCTTTGAGACAATAAATGCTAAAATGACAATTTGGCAATGACTTTTAAGTTGTGACTTATCTAAAGAGCTAAGAAAAAGTCCTTACAAGCCTTCAAAGTTTGAATTAATTGATCTTTGATGTGGCAGAAAGATCTTTTAGCCTATGGACAATCGTTCAGTGGCTTCATTGAATATCTTTTACTTTCTGTGAAGTATCTTTCTAAAGTCCTTTGTTCATAATTTTCTTTTTTTAAAAATTTTATTGGCACATTTTAGGTATAGAATATAATGACATTCATCATTGGAAATTTTCATAATTTTCTAACAATTTTCATAATGGAAGTGATAATTTAATTCCATATCTCTCCTTCTAAAAATTACCTTTGTGTGTGTATGTGTGTGCAGACAAAATGTAAGCTATTTTATAATAGGCTAAACTTTAAAGCTCAGAATTTTTAAAACTTATTTTTAAAATCTTAAATCTGGTTTTCACTGATTTTTACTAATTCTTTTATGAATTTAGAAAGAAAATATCATCAAATTTACTGCATTTTCTGAAATGCCTCTCAATATCAACCACTTTATTATCTTTCATTTTTTATTTTATTTATTATTTATTTATTTATTTATTTATTTGGTACCAGGGATCAAACTCAGATCCTTGAGCTTGCGAGGCAGGCGGCGGAACCACTGAGCTAAATC